ACCACAGCACAATACAGGCACCAGCCAGAATCGAGAACCCAACAGGAATACCCCTAATACCAACACCAACAGGATCATGACCATAAACGTTGAACGCCTGCGTCGGCCAGAACATAAGGATAGAGAAGAAGTTGGCTCCAGAGATAAACGTAATGACGAGTGTCAGCCCAAGAATCCGGGGCTCCTGACGAAGTCGCTTGGGGAACATGGGATGTTTGGCTCCGTAAGCTTCCCAGAAGACAAAGGCAACGAGGAAAGCGACGCCCAGGATCAAGGGCGCGAGCACGTGTGCGCTGGACCACTTGTACTGGTAGCCACCCCACTGCATACCCATCATGAACAAGATCATACCGGCAACAGACAGGAAACCGCCGATGTAGTCGATCTGCGCGAGAACCTCTCTGCGGCTCATACCCACGCTGTTGACGCGGGGAGGAGGGTGGTAGAACACGAACGTCAAGACGAGGCCGATGAAAGCCCAGAGACCTAAGATCGTCAGTTTCCCCTCTCATGCGTCGTTTAGATAACAGGGAAAAGTTCTTACCACACCACATCCCAATCCACCTCCAAGCCCCGGGACTCTGACTAGCAATAAGCTGCGCCCAAAGCACACTCGGACAAAACGGCAAAATCGTAAACACCAAAATCGCAACATACTTGCCCCTCTGACTCGTCGGCGCAAGCTCACTCGTCACCGCCAGCGCCGTAAGTTCGTTGATGCCCGCGCCCACACCGCTAAACACCATTCCTGCAATGAAGATATTCATGGAATGGGCGGTTGAGCAGATGATCATGCCGAGGATCAGGAAGCACGCGCCGATCATGGCGACCCACCGGCGGCCCACGATGTCGGAGATGGAACCGACGAAGGGGCACACGGCGGCGAGGGAGAGCAGGTTGGCGAGGATGAACCAGATCCAGCGGTCTGTGCCGCCTATGTCGGCGTAGATGTAGGGGGGGACGCCGCCGAAGAGGTAGACGGGGATTTGGCTGCCTGTCCAGACTGTTTTTGAGCGTTAGTGAGAAGAACTCCGTTGTGTATCAGTCGTCTGGGAAGGGCTCTACGCACGGAAAGCCATGGCGACCAAAGCCATAAGTCTCTTAAAGTTCATAGGTTGCTCGGCATCGTGGTCCTCGCCGTCGCCGGCTGTCCGCAAGCCATCTTTTTCGTAGTAGTTGGTATGGCCGGGGACTTGCTCGTTGGTGTGGATTTGCTCGATGTGGTTGAAGGCTGGTTTGGAGGCTGAGGGGGAGTGGTCTGAGGCATCTATTGTTAAATTGGCTTAGTACATGTGTAGGTGAGTGTGAAGTTGGGGTGTAGGATTGCGTACCAGAGCCATCGCTGTGGTCTCGCATCGTGTTCTTCATGGTCTACGTATGGAGAAACCCTCGTAGACAGGAATGGAGACTCTGAATAACACAAACGAAAGTGTTCGCAAGACTGACTGACACTTCGTTTGGAGGCTCAGCGGGGCTCTTATGCATCCATGTAATTGGAACTCACCCTTGCCTTCACCACGCCCCCCTACCAGGGCCGTCCATCACATTCCCCACCCACGACTCAGTCTGCGGGGTATTTCCCACCTAACATCCAACTAGTCCTCACATCGTCCCTCTTCCTCCATTTCCCTCCATTATCCTCCTTCACACTAGCCCCAAGTCCACGGTCTAGCCCATCCACCCACCATCCCCATCCGCGCATCTGGATTCGCCTCTCCCACCACATCCGCGGTAACTTTCCCAACTTTCCAACACGCCTACCTGACACTTCCGCCACGTTACCCAGCTAGCCTATCACTTCCTTCCGTACTATGTCCATGGGACACCGGGGGAAGTTGTGAATGGGGTTAGACAAAGTGTTAGCGCACATGTACCCCGCAATTGCTTGGTCGAGCTTGTCGCAACAAGCAAAGAAGCGGCTGAACAAGCTTTTGGCGAGGTTTGTCGATCTCAGATGGCTTCGTTGGAAAACCTGGGGATGGGGATAAGGTGAACGGGGATCGGCGGGGGACGGTGGGTTGGTGTTGGTAACCTTGGAATGGTGAGGTGGTGAGGTAGTGCGGCGATTCCGTATGTAAGGAGAGGGCTTCAGCTGGGATGTCACATACGGGTAATTGGGACCACGGCAGTTTCTTCACTCGCTGTCTCGCTCTTCGCTCTTCGCACAATACACCTCCGCGCGGCTTTCCCCTTCGGTCCTATTCGCGCGGAGAAAAGTCCGCGTTGGATACCTACAGGGGAGTATGGGCTTGACCTGCCGTATAGATGCATGGTCTCTAGTCCCGTGAGCTATGCTCGCACGCGCGTATGTACAATAGCGACACCGGAGTGGATGCTTGATACGCCACAAGTACGGCTGTTCGGCTACGGGGGTCATGCAGACTGTGTTCTTGATTCGAGTTGCCTAGGTAGAATGAGAGGATGGGGGAGCTTGTTGGAAGGCGACCGCTGTGCTTTCACTGAGATGGATTTGCGTGATGATTTGGGGATGGATGTTGATTGCTGGTTCTTTGTAGCACTATCAATGTAGTTACTTCGGTAAGGGAGGTAATGGCACCTATCATCTCAGCCCATCCATCTCCAAGCTCACGTTATCCGCTCTCGAACCATAAACGCCTCCATCCAAGATCCACTGCTCATTATCATCGTTATCATCCTGCACGCGACGCCACGTCTGCTTCCTCCCACCTTCACCCGCATTCTCCTTGCCTTTACTCTCCTGGACCTTAATAGTCGGCCTAATCAGTCCACCCAACAGCGGATTCTTGCTGAACGCCCCGCTCCCACTCGATAGCGTATTCCCATCTCGGGGCCGTTGAGTAGGTTCGGGTGGCTCATCTTCGCTCTCGGGTGTAGCCGGCCTCTCGGTAGCAGCCATGCGCTTGACAAGCTTCTTTCCCGAGAGATCGATGCTGGCGACTACTTTGCGCTTCTCGTATTCTGGGCGCGCATTCCAGTCTTGCTCGCGCAGCGCTTTTTGCTGGCGCTTGAGCTGCATGGCGCGTTCTTGGGGGCTGGCCCACATGCTGAGGCCGGCTGTTGTGGTTTCGAAGTCGGCGGCTTCGTCGTGTACTTGAGTTCGTTTGGCGTTTTGGGCTTGGAAGGCGAGCAGCTTGTCTCTGTGCTGTTTTGCTTTTGCGAGCTTCTCGTTCTCAGACTCGACGTCCGAGGCGGGATTGGAAGATGCGGGTGTTCCTGTGCGGGGTGTTGAGAATGGGCGTGGTGCGAGCGAGACATCGGCACGCTTTTGGCCCGCGTTGTTGGCGGCCATCTTCTCTTTTCCGCGCTCTTCGCGGAGAACGCGCACCATAGATTGGATGTCTTGGGCGCTGAACAGAGCTGAGTTGCAGAAAGTGCATGGGCCGATGCCTTCCTTTACGCAGATGATCTTTCCGCAGTTCAAGCAGTTTGGCGCAGCTTCGAGCAAAGGATGCCTGGTAGCCATGCAATTGCATTTCCGCTTGCTGTTATCTTGTGGGGCAAGAGTAGGGTTCGTCTGAATCTCAAGCGCTCTGATTGCGGACTCCAGATCGTTGAGTGCCGTTGAGGCACCATGCATGGGCGTGCCACCAGTAACATTGACCTTTGCCTTGGCCTTGGGTTTCGTATCCGAGATGAGTTGGCCTGGAAGTTTCTTTGCTGGTTGCGGAGCAGGCGAGACACCACGGGATTTGGGCGTGGATGTCCCCGATGACGTAGTGAAGGTTGGTAATTGTAACCCATCGGGTTGTTCTGATAAGCCGAATTTGGCAGCCTTGGGTTTTGAACTGCCAGCCATATAGTCCTCTTCATCTTTCTTGAGGTATGCACCAGATACGTTGCCATGGTCCTCTACTTGTCGCGGTGGCGGAAGTTTGTTCAAACCGGGTTTCTTCTTCTTTGGCTTCGCCCTGGGTACTTCTGACATGCCATTCGACACTTGGGCCTGGCCAGAGCCGCTGGAAGGCTTCGGCTTTCTCCGGTTGTTAAATGAAGAGATAAACTCAAGTGCTTGCGGTCTGTCGCCTAAGAAATTCTGCAGATGGTCCGCTGCTTCTTTGGGCGATAGTGACTCAGTATATGATATCAGTTGCTTCAGTGACTCATCGTCTAGAGGAACAAGCTTCGATAGCTGGGGCAATGCCCAGGTTGAGAGATCCATGTTCTTGTTGATGAGGTTGTGGTTGCCAAATGTCAGAATAGGTTGTTCGCTGTGAATCATCACTCTGAGCTAGTAGCTGTGGCGGGTGTGTGGCTGGTCGGCGGTCCGTGCCCCAAAGTTCACATGGAATTCCAGCTCGTGGGGAAGCTGCCATCACAGTCCTCATACCCTCAACTACACATTCACCATGGCTACCGACATCGCGCTCGACACCACTATTGTACGTTGAACTTCTCGTACGACAAACACCCTTACTAATCAGAGCAGGGCACCATTGTCATCGAACTCTACAACGACCACGCGCCCAAGACATGCAAAAACTTCTCGACGCTCACGCAGCGCAACTACTTCAACGGCCTGATCTTCCACCGCATAATACCAAACTTCATGATCCAAGGCGGCGACCCCACGGGTACAGGAAGAGGAGGTGAGAGCATATATGGCGACAAGTTCGAGGACGAGATCAGCCCCCAGCTCAAGCACACGGGTGCAGGCATCCTCAGCATGGCCAACTCCGGTCCCAACACCAATGGCTCCCAGTTCTTCATCACATTGGCGCCGACTCCGTGGTTGGACGGCAAGCACACCATCTTTGGAAGGGTCAAGAGCGGGATGCAGATCGTGAAGAAGCTCGGCTTGGTCAAGACAGACAAGGAAGACCGCCCTGTTGAGGAGGTCAAGATTGTCAAGGCATACCTCGTCGACGACGGCGCGATGGCGATGCAGCGATACTAGCGCGGGGGAACGAGATCAGCCAGGCGTCGGCGCGATCGCATGACAGAGCGCATCAACGCGACACTCAATGCTTGAACGTGAGTTACTCGAAAATGGAATGTAGATTAATTACTCATACGTCCAACTAGTTCAGAGCTCCGTTCGGATGGATCAACACCTTCGTATACCCCTCGATTCTCTTGTCAAACTTCTCGTATGCCGTCGGCGCGTCGTCGATATTAATCTCGTGCGACACGACGAAGCTCGGCTTGGCCTTGCCCGATACAATCATGTCGCGGAGATACCTGTTGTACGCCTTCACATTGCACTGCCCGGTGCCAAGATGCAAGCCCTACGGTCGTCAGTGGTGGGTACACAACTTCGGACCACGAACATACCTTTTCGAATAGCTTGCCGAACGAGATCAGAATTTGGCCCTTCTTGCTCTGCTCATCAGGCGCTCCTGGATCGGCCGGCACATACAAACCTGGAATACCCAAGCCTCCCGTTGGCCGGGTCACCATGATCAACTGGTCCAAGACAACGTTTGGCTTCTCCTTGCTACCAGACGCGTCCACGGCTTGATAACCTACCGCGTCGACAGCGCGATCCACCATACCGTCATTGAGCTTGATGATCTGCTCAACCGGGTCGCTCTTCCGGAAGTCAATAGGAATGCATCCGATCTTCTCCGCAGCTTGCAGTCGCTCAGGCACTGTGTCGACTACGAAGACCTTGCTTGCACCTCGTAGGATACCGCTATACGCTGCCATGAGACCAACAGGACCTGCACCGAACACCGCGACACTTTCGCCGGACTGGAAGCCAGCGAGGACCAGCCCATGCCAGCCCGTTGGGAATATATCTGCTAGCAGTATGAAGTCGGCTTCATGCTCGGTTCCTTTGGGTAGTTTCAGGGCGTTGAAGTCGGCGAAGGGGACGCGGAGGTATTGCGCTTGGCCGCCTTGATACGGGCCCATGGCTACGTAGCCGTAAGCGCCGCCGGCGAAGCCTGGGTTTACTCTGTTCTATTGTTAGGACTGGTGCATGATAGCCTTATTGGAGTTCGACTTACCCGGTACAGAACGCTGTTTTGCCCTCCTCGCAATTGCGACACCTGCCGTCGGCGACATTCTGCGAGCCACATCAGAACCATCCGCACTTCATCTCCATGCAACACTCACAAACGGCAACACAATCCTATCCCCCTTCTCCAGCAGCGTCACGCCCGACCCCACCTCGATAATCGTCCCCATATTCTCATGACCAAACACCAGACCCGCCTCCGCAGCCGTCCGTCCCTGATACATATGCAAGTCCGACCCGCAAATCGCCGCCGTCGTAACCTTGACAATCACATCATCCGGATGCTGTATCTTAGGCAGCTCGACGTCCTTGACCGAGACTTTGAATGGACCTTCGTAGTGGACTGCTTTCATCTTGTCGCTGGACATGTTTGGGGGTTGTTGCGCGCGTCGCGTTTAAGCAATTTTAAAGGTTCAAAGATACAAGATACAAAGAGTTCGTCGCGACAGTAGAACGAGATGCGCGTATATTATCGTGAAGTGGGAAATGGTTGCAAAGGACAAAAGGCACGTTGATCCCACAATGGAGCCAGACCCAGTCTATGACATATGACGACCCCTCATCTTCGGTCCTTGCAAGCTTGCATGGCTTGCAGGAGTTGGGACCAGAGCGTCTGGCTGGCGTCATTATTGAGGGGCTGACAGCGGAGGAGGTGTCGATCAAGTGTGGGGTATGGGTTCCGAGTCGGAACGGACGCTTCGGAAACTAGCGTGATGCGTCGAATGCGCTGCAACATTTGAAGTCACTTGTGTCCGCATGGGCAGTCTTTTTCGCATGGTAGGGAAGCTTGGAGGATCGGTCACGCCGATGTTGAGGCCTCCTTTCGGATTTCGAATTCAAGCTGTCTAGAGCGGAAGAAGCCTCAACATCGGCGTGGGAGGTCTTGCTTAGTTCTGTATTGTGCGGAAGACGTGGAACGCTGATCGACGTCTGAAGTCTTCTGTGACGGATCTTTTGTGGATTGGGATCATGAGCAAGAGATGAGGAGAACCTCACTGCAGAATTCATGCTTGCTCATTCTGAGCGAAATGTAAAGTGAACACCTTTTCAAGATTTCTAGCTTCCTCGGAGCCATGACTCCTGTGATGTGATATGTTCGAGAAAAGGCCATCATCGTAAGCAGAGTCGTATGAGCAATGTAGTGCCCAGATGGGATATCCCGAATAAAGTCCCGTCCAAACTCCAAATTCCAAATTCATCCCGCATCCCAGAGATATACGGGAATGATCATACCCACCTCACCACCGACCTCCAATACAACCCACCTAAACCAACCCAACCAAACTCTCATTCAACCTCCCTAACCTCCCCCTAACCTTCTTCACCCTCTCTCCCACCACACTCACCACCCCCTTCTCCTTCCCCTCAACACCAGCTTTCTCCTCAACCCCTCCCATCCCCCCCTCCACAACCCCCTTCCTCTCGACCTTCTCAAACCTCCTCTTCCACATCCCGCGATAATTCACAACGCACTGCCTGACCCAAACCCTCCACCACACCTCCTCCGCCCACCTTACTAACACCCCATCCGTTGCACCAGCATACTGCGCATCTGTCCATGCCATCGTGAAGTCCTTGTCGCGCGGCACGGTGGCGAGGTAAGGTGTGCCGGTGGAGGGGCAGAAGAGTGTCCAGCGGAAGAGGCAGAGCAGTTTGGCGGAAGGGGACATGTTGGGTGGAGGTGGGGAGGCGGAGAATGGGAGGGGTGGTGTGGAAGGGAGGGCGTCGACGTAGAGGTAGAGGGCTGGGGAGGGGGAGGTGGTGGTTGATAGAGATGGGGAGAGGGGAGGTGGGACCAAAGCGCTCGGTGAGATCGGCGAGTGGTCGATAGATAAGCCGGGCGTGAGCGGTGGTGTCAACGGCGGTGTTAGCTCGCCTGTAGCTGTGGGTTCGAGATCGGGTGTCATGGGCTGTGCATGTTTGACAACGATAGTCGGAACGGATATGTCGCTACTCCATCCATTCTTATCAGTTGGAATGGCTTGGGTGATGAGCTCGCGCAGTCTCTGCTCTTCGCGCTCTTTGACCCATGCGGCGCGCTTGGTGTAGTATGCGGTTGCTACATGCGGGAACATGGTGAAGACTTTGTTGCGGACAGCTGCTCTGGTGCGCGTTTGCCATGCTGAGAGGTCTTCTTCGACGTGCTCGTGGGTTTTGCTACTGGCCTCTTCGGGGTCTGTAGTTTGCTGGAGGTGGCGGTAGCCAGGGTAGTGCTGCGGAACCCATTCTTTGATGAAGTGTGTCCAGTACGGTGCGCGGTCCTCAAGTCGCTCATGATACTTTTCCTCGGCCAGTCGTGCGGCGAAGTGACCTGGGTGGAAGAGCCAGGAGCTAGCCAAGTACTTGTAGACTAAAAGTCCCATCAGTGATACTCACAAACAAGACAGATCAAGAACTTACTCTCCTCCTTAGTCTCGAATACCCCATTCAAGATCCTCCAATCCAACCCCACAATCCTCAGCGCATCCTTCGGATCCTTGCTAACCCACACCATGCTACCAGGAAAATTCGTCTCTTCCATCTCTTCAACACGAACATGTATACCCTCAGGATCCATGGTGAGGCCCAGCGGCTTGACCATACTGCCGATCATCTTGCTGTTGCTAGCGTAGTTGAGCTCGAAGTGACACCAGTGAAACAACTCCGGCTTGAAGCAGACTTTGACATCGATCTGGATGAAGTAGTTCTCTTCGCCGTGGGGCGAGTCGATGGCGAAGTACATGCAGTCTCTGGTGAGAAAGCCTTGGCGCCCATGTGTGGTATCGAGGACGTCTTTGATGAGGGAGACGGTGCTTTGCCAGGGGAATGCGTCGAGTGTGGTCGTGCCTTCGGAGTGGAGAGGGGAGCAGACTAGGAAGTCGACGTCGCCGTAGTCATCCTGTTCGTGTCAGTAAGGAAACGGCACACCAGACCTCGGGATATTCAAGCATACCTTGCCGGGCATCTCAGTCGGTACCACGACTTGCGCGAAGACAGTCTGCAGCGCAGCTTTCGTCTCTGCTTTGACCTTTGCGTAGACAGCTGGGGAGATGCGAGGACAATACAGTCCTTTGAAGGCGTGGCCGCCCATCTTGTGTAGTGATTGATGAGGGAGTTGTGAGATGGGTTATCCTAGTGTTTCCCAGATCGTGTGAAGTGATGAGTTGGAGTGATGAACGAGAAGTGGTTGAACAGACCAAAGTGGCGGTCACAGGGTAGTTATAGACAGCTGGCGTGCTGCAAGATGAGGTGAAGGTAAGAGCAGCTGAGCGGTGTCCAGTCAAGGTAAGAGAGTATCAGACGACATGGCAAGTGCTCAGCGGAACAAACAACACGGATATGTGCGGACCTGGGAGAACGTCGTTTTTGTTCAACTTTACCTTAAGTACTCAATCCTACCATTGCGATATGGTAACATGATTCGTCCTGCGCCTGTTGTTACGGCATCATTCGACTGATGATATACAGAACAGCACTACTCCAGAATGTGTCCCACTGCGTCCAGGACAAGAAATACATCTGAAAGACTCCCCAAGGTTTGGGGGCGAGTGTATGCCAGCGGAAGGTGTTGATTACGTTCGTAAAGACGTCGCATATGACCGCAGTTGTTCACATGCTAATCCACATCAATCTGAGGCACTTTGACATGTGCACTCCGCGAAATGGAGTGCGCCTTGTCCGCAGCCTTGCAGCCTACCTCCCTATACTCTGCTGCGTCGCATACTTGTGGCGTTCGAAAAATGGTTGGGTGAGGCAGCTCTGTGTCACCCTCACCATCACCGCTCCTGCGGCGCAGCAGTGCCACAAGCGCTAAGCCTGAACACATATCAATATCGCACTCACCACAAACTCACCATCGACAACCAACCACCAAAACAGCTGTCAACATGGCGATGGCACGTCTTCAAGCACTTCTCGCCTGCTTCCCCTGCGGCACCGAGGAGCCGGAGCACACCACTTACCCCGACGAGAAAGTCGCCTTGCTCGCTGCCGCCAACGACAACGACAACGATAACCCACATCCCGCCGATGAGATCGCAGACTCCGTCGTCGAAAAACTCCTCACCACCCGCCTCACCGGCGCCCACCTGCGCATGCACCTAGACGCCCTCGTCGGCCCCTCCGGCTGGCGCACCACGCTCGCCCAACACATCCTCTCGCGACTCACCACCGCTCTCCGCGCGTCGCACGAGCACCTCGGTCCCACCATCTCCACCGCCTGCGACAAAGCGTGGGAAGCGGCCCAAAGCATCGAGGGCTTCGTCATCGAGCACCCGGTCATGTGCACCGTCATTGCCCTGGGCGTCCTCGCTATCGTCGCGCCGTGGGTGTTGGAAGCGCTTGGGTTTGCTGAACTGGGGCCGGTTGAAGGTACGTGTAGTGTGAAAGTGTGAAAGTATGAAAGTATGGGTGTTACTTCCCCTTCGTTTCCAGCGAGCTGGGAATTCAGGGGATGGAGATGCGACAGTACGTTCCGTGGAACTCGACAAAAAGCAAAACAACTTTGGGATATTTCGTGACCAAAGAAAAGCGGTTGGAAGGAAAAGGCACGGAAATGTCAAGCGAATTGAACGGGAAGAAAATGATTCGACTTGGAATAAAGCGCTAACACAATCATTGTATGCAGGTACCTTCGCCTCATGGTGGCAGTCCACCTACGCCGGCCTCGTACCAAAGTCCTCGCTATTTTCCTTCTTCCAGCGGTTAGGTATGACCAAGTGGCACTGGGTGCTCGTCTAATCCATAACTCTGCTATTCATGGTACGGATGAGGGGTTCGTCAGCTTCGGTTCGCTCCTTCCTTTCTCGTCTCGTCTCGTGTCCTCCTATCGATGCGAACAGACCACTCCAGGGCTATTGTGATAAACGAGATCAAGGAAGCAGGAAGCGGGCTGCGGGGAAAGCACCAGAAGAAGCGGCAGATGACGCAGTTGGTATAGGTCGAAGGATTCGAGGAGATTGGGATGTCGCTCGCGTATCTTGCATGATGATGCACGCGCGTGATGGATTGACATGGTTGGCATTGTGCTGTCTGCTGTCCTCAGTCGTGGGTAGTAGGGCGCCTAACTCAATCCTTCCAACTTCCCCTCGTGTCTCCGTTCCAATGTCCACGTCCTTGATTAGTAGTTCGCCACCTAAGGCAGTGACATTATCCTGAGGCTCTGCTACCCGCAGGTGTCATCGCAATTTCCCCACACACCGTTCTACGTCATCCCACATGTAGTTGAGGGGGACCCGTCGACGATGGAGGAACGGGCAATGTTTCGAACTCAATATAGCAATGGCAATGCGACGCGAAGCGCAAAGTAAAGAAAACGGTTCCCGCAACCCGCTTCCCGCGCTGTCACTGTTACAGTTGTTTGCGAAAGTCTACCAAACATGCAACTTTA